TATTCCTTTGTTTTGTAATTTTAAGAGAGAAGAAGGGATGATTGCCCTTGTACATGAGAGGATTATCTATATTTGTAATGTTTCCATATCCCTTTATGTTATCATTCAATCCAAAGGGATATGCTGTCATCAGAAGTTTGATCCAAAAAAGTTCCTTTTCTATTAATGTGGTTTTATCATTAGACTTCATACAGTCTAGTACTTGTACCGTTATACCTCTATCACATTTGTAGAAGTGATTATATAACGGTGTGTGTACCTTGTGTGAAAAAATATTAGAAAGATGTTCTCCAATTCTTTCTTTTAATTTTCTTACTGTCATTCCAACATATTGTATCCCACAGCCATTGCATGTTAAACAGTAAACTACATTTTTAGCGTTACAATCTGCATCTGCTTCTTTATATGTGTTAATATATAAATTTGTAACGTTTGATACAATGTAATTATCTGTATTAGTTATATCACATGTTCTGCACTTTCTTTTACATTTGCAACCCTTGTTATCGTTACCAAAGTCGTTGAGTTTGAAGTGATTGGCCCCACCCCTTACCTTGTGGAACCGGGTGGTGGAGTAATAATTTGTAGCGCTGACTTTCGCATTTTTTGACCTAAGATCTAAGCGCATGAGCGGTCAAACCCATACGCAGAGAGGAGTCTTCCCGAAGGTTCGGCAGGGCTGCTGCCCAGGGGGTGGCTCTCCCTGCAAGAACTACTAGCGCTGGAGGCGCCAAAAAATGACCCCTCTTGCCATTTTTGACTTGTATAACCCCGTCAGCGCTAGTCCCTATTTTTTTAAAGAGGTATGGCCCTCTTTTTTGAGAGGCATGGCCCCTCTGTGTGTTAATGATAGTGTAAGAAGTATGGTATGAACAAAAAAGAAAAAAAGGAAGAAGCCGGGCGTGAAATAGAAGGAGGAGCACCCGGCGGCAGCCGGGTGATCCGACTGGTATATATACTTCAATCGACTGTGCAACAGATCGACAACTGTAGGTCGTACCTGTGGATGTAACTTCAAAATTTTGCTAGGAAATCGAGTCAACGGGATCCCGAGAATCCTCTACACAAAGAGTCATTTCTGTCTGGAATGACTTGCCACCTGTTGTGGTGAACTCTAACTCAACTGAGTCGGAACTATTATTCTAATTTGCGACCGTTTTGGAACAACCGTTTTATTCAGCCAGATTGATTCGCATGAAAACAAGAACAGAAACTGAAAATTGATCCTACAAGATTGGAGGTAATTTACTTTTTTTTCTTCTACTAGTTTTTGCGGTCTGATCTTTCTAGTGGTTCATATTATTAGTTCAGACATTGTTATGTTCTGGTATGCTATACTCTCTGAATTTGGTCCCTCCCATGTCGACACGTGGGTCTTGGTGGGGTTGGCGGACCTACTGAGTTGGTATCCGGAGCCGCTTGATGCCTGATGCGACTTGCAGTGTTGGCGGACCACTGCTCTTCACCACCAAGTTCCCCATTCCATCTTATAGCGCTCTTGCACCTCCATCCCTTCACCAGTGTGAGCCACTATGTAGATGCCTCATTCCCTTCAGTGTGTTTTGCAATCGACCACTTTTATCCTTCACTGTTTATCGCTTATGCTGCCTTTACAATAGTGTGTCGTTTTTTTTTCTTGCCTTGTTCTTCTATAGCAGCCGATAATAAATGTCAGATGTTAAATGCTGAAGCTTCTTCTTCCCCTAGCGTTAGTCCCCGCCGTCGTCGTCCGCTGTTCTTGTTAGACGTCGCCACTTGTTCCGATCCACTGCATCTTCTGCCGTGGCTTTCACTTCAGTGAGGTCCTTCTTGATGACGTCCCTCCATCTTTTCTTTGGGGCTCCTCGTGGTCGCTTGCCCTCTGCTTCGAATTCCAATGCCTTCCTTATTGGTGGTCCTCAGGCCTCCTCAGCAAACGTGCCCATACCATCGCAGGTCGCTGCTCTCGTGCCTTCAGCTGGATCGGAGCCGTCTGTGTGATCGCCCTGACGGCTCCCTTTGGCAGATAAACGGTAGAATGCTATTGCCTCGTCCACCTGCATTGCGAACCTTGCCATTCCTTATCGCGGGTAATTATATTATGGGAACACCAACTCACCTTTTCTTTCGCAACCTCGACATCGCCGAAGGCGAAGGCTCCCTGCGACGCTTTGTCCAGCTTCTGGCATTCTTCGTCACCAGCACTCCATAATGGGTCCTCCTCATCTTCCTCTACGTACACTCCTTATCCCCGATACGGAGTAGGCGTGGCTTTTGAGCATGGCATGTACGGGGTTACCTCCGTGGGAACTACGTTCAATTTGAAAGATTTGGCTGTTCTTTGTTCTGTGTTAAGATGTAGACATGATTAGCGACTGCTGCCAATATGACACATTTCACGAAAACTTTTAGGCCAGCTACATTTTGAAAATCAAATACGCAGCCACGCCTACCGCGAGCTACAGGGATTTCGGTAAATGCTCGTCGTCCGCGTCACAATGCAGAGCTGTTGTTTAGCACGCCTCCTCGCATGGGTAGGGCACAGTTGTCTATTATTCTAGTTCCTGCCTTAAATTCTTTGGCGCGTGATCTCGTAGGAAAGCGCAAAGTCCCTCACCAAGCACGCCAGCACCAACTTAGGGCAGAACATTTCGGGATAAAATGTGCATAAAAGCATTGGCATTTTGACTGTATAGTGCCACGTCACTGCCAAGTAAGGTGGCTTGTCATTCTATTGATATCATATGTAGACCCCACTTCAGTACTGTTTCTCGTCTGGGCTCTTTAAGCAGTGTGACCATACTGGTTGTGGAGGGCTCTTCTTTATTCGTTGTAACCACTGTCAGAAACTGCTGTGTTTTGACCATTTTCGTGTAAGAATATTCATGATGCGGCTTGTAGATTTTCAGGCATTCGTGTATGTTTTATGCACACTTCTATGTATAAAAGTATCGAGTAAATAACAATATTTCATTGCCAAGCAAACCGCAGCATTTTTCTTCAAGATTTATGCAGTCCAAGAATGCATGTCAATCAACACGATAGCTGGAAAGCAGTACTTTCTGCACTCCTACCAGAAGTAAAGCAAAATGATGGCATCAGTCGGGATTCGAACTCGTTACCTTACGTTTGGGAGGCCAATGTGGCTTACACTATGCACGCGCACCAACGCACAGCCCACCAGGGGAAGAATGAGGGTCCAAGGAGTGTAATGACTACGGCATGCTGGGGGAAAAGCAGCCCGCCAGCTCCTTTCAGGGAATCTCGTCGCTGGTCCCGGCGACTTTGGCCCACCACTCAGTATTCTCGTGATATAACGTTCGTATCGCGCACTGCGGCGTTAAACAGCAGTTACAAACAATAACAGTTTTCAGGAATCGTTCAGCAGATTTCGAAAGCAGATTTGAACTCATCGTTCGAAGACACATCAGTCGGTGTACATCTCATTTAACGAACGGCGGATTGCGGCGGTTGACTTTCCCTGCTTAGATAGTGGGAAAAAAATTTCCACTCAACCGTCCAACTAAAACCGAGGTCGACCGCAGATTGAATGGATTCCTTATCCACGAAGGAGGCTACGCTCTTATAAATTTTGATCATCGGCAAAGCCGCAGCACTTAACGCCGGCAGAGCTTATTATCGCAAGCGCAATCGTAGGTGTAAATGTTGAACAGTATGGGCGAAAGAACCCCGCCCTGAGGAACACCGCTAATAACATCGTAACGTATGGCCTGGGAGAGGAGAAGGTGGAACCTAATCGTATGACAATTTGCCGGTCGGTGAGAAACTCTCTGAACCAGGCAACTAGGTCTGAATAATGACACTCCAAAGCTTCATGGGAAGCGCGCAGCATGCTGTACTTTATCAAACGGTTTACAGAAAATAAGTCAAGGTAAAACGAAACAATCAGTAAGTGAATTCCTTGCCTAAAGTTATAAGGTACAATCTTGAGTGTCTTGTAAGCAGTGGCCGTAAAAAAAACGCATGCTGGTTCGCTGAGAGAATGAGTGTTGCTCAAAGATGCTTTTGCATTTGACTTTTTGCAAAAATTCTCTCGAAAAGCCTGGAAAAATAGATAGTGATGGGCCAATTGGACGATAGTTCTCCAGGCATGTGGATGGCTGTTTCTTCAGAATCGGAGTGACGAAAGACAATTTCCATTTTTCGGGTATGACAACACTCATAAAACTGATCTTAAACAGAAGCTCAGGAGGATCAGCCTCAGATTTCTCACAATCCGTTCGAACGATACTGTCATCCACAGCTTTGAGTACACAAAATCGGGGACGTTCGCCTCGAGTTGAGTAAGCGATATAAGGCTCGCTTATCACCCGACCTAATCACCTTCCTTTCAATGAATCTGTTACACTTGCATTCGAGGATCTATTTGCTCTTGTCAAAAGTGGCAGCAATGGAACGATAGGATTCCCAGTCCTCATAAAATCCACTAGTGGGTTTCTCTTTTCTAAGCAACAGATTTTCTTGATCTATGAAGGGAGCGAAGATGCTGAGGAAGATGCTTCTTTTGTAGTGAGAGCCTAGCCAGGGGAACGAATGACTCGATGGTATGACGCAGAATGAAGATAAAGAATTCATACTTATCATCAACCGTAGCGGCACTATAGGGACCCAATCCAATCGATTGTCCGAAGATAGGCACAAATAGCTTCAAAAGTTAGCATTTGTATATACCCTCTTATAAACGAAAAAATCTCTAGCACGGGAATGATTGAAAGAGAAACAGATAGTTGAGTGATCACTGCTACCTATAGGGGGGAGGCACCTGTAGGCAATTCACTAAATTATCTTCACTGGATAAAACAAGGTCAACTATCCTAGAGCGAACTGACGTGCTGTGATAACCAATGAGAAGAACAACCGTCCAAGAATGCCTAGGACGTTGATTAACGTCGCAGCGGCTCAGAATAGAGTTCCACATGATGTCCGCTATTGAAGTCACCGCAAATAACGCAGGTGTAGGGACATGATATTATACCGCCGATAACCTTGAGCATCTGATGAGTGCATACGACTGAACAGAAGGGCGCTCTATAAATTAATATAAGTACGAACTTGTTTAACACCTGTGAGATAGTCACAACAAAGGAGTTCATAGGAGTTGGAAAGTCACAACAAAGGAGTTCATAGGAATTGGAACAGCCTTCACTGTAAACTAAGTTGGAACAGAGATACTTGCCTAAAAGGAAGGCAACCCCTCCACCTTTTCTATTCAAGCGATCACACCGGAGCATGTCATACTGTGAAGACCAGTTCCCCAGGAGTGTTGATAAGTTAATGTTGTGGTTAAGCCATGTTTCAGCAAGCGCAATTATATCGTAGCCCCCAATAGCAAGCTTAGCAAGCAGTGAATCCCTGTTCTTAAGAACAGATCTTATATTAGTGAACAGAAATTTCAATCTATTCTGCCTCTGCTTGCTACTGACAATCCGAGGATGGCTACTCATTTTGAAGCAACATTACTCGTATTAAGCTGAGAGGAGGTGGTACCAGGTACTGACACAACGTCGGGAGAAGAATTAGAGGCATTCTGACCTTGCGGCGGGCCTGGTTCAGCGCGCAGCCTTTCCCTCTCCGCCCAACGGGGAAGGCCTAACAAAAATACCAGGAAGTTTGAAGCGACGCTCCCGACGCAGCATCACTTTGACAAGGAAAGAGCTCGGAAGGATAACTTTAACTTGGGCGCCCTCCAAAACAGCGTCCCAGTCTGTAAACAGACACAGTCGGACAGTCGATTGACAAGTAGTCCATAATTATCTCTAACCGACTGATAATCATATAAAACACGAGACGAAGCAATAGGGTCTTTGCTTTCAATAAGCCCCGAAATTACAATGGAACGAGTACGTTCTACTTCATCGTAAAGTAACGGCACTGGGGTAGGTATGGAGGACGTCTGAGGGAGAGGGTTGCAGTCAGAGTAAGGAACAGAGGTAGATGATTGAGAATTTGATAGCGCTTTCTCAAATCGGCATTCTCCTGCTTAAGCTTATCCAACTGCTCAGATAACTCCTTGCACAACAGAGAAATAGACCGCATTTGTTTTACGGTCCTCAAGTAACCATGTTAAAATAGTCCTCAGTTGAGGGTTGTGACTGATCCGCAAGAAGGTTTTCCACTTGTTGATCCAGATCAGCGGGGGAGCCGGGTGACCTAGTCGAATCAATGCATTGACGTTTTTGTGGGGCCTTGGCGTCGATCTGAATAGGAGATAGGCCAACGGGTGTGATGTTCATAATGAAACCAGTTGTTGAGAACAATGGACCTAGATTGGTGGCTAGAAGAGAATCAAATAAACACCGATTGTTTCCCAGCCACAAGGAATCGAGTTAACGTATGATAACGGATCGATGACGAACGAAAAAGTAGCAAAATATTTTTGTTGTAATATCCAATGATGTCT